CGATGAGTCAGTTCGCCTAGGTCTTTACCTAGGCGGCATAAACAAGGTTAATATGATATGTACAGAAAGGTAAAAGTATGGGATTTCTCTTGTTATAAATGCTAGCTAGGAATACACCAAGCAGAAATAAGTAGACTGTCTTACTTAATTTTTTTAATTTATTTTACTATTACTCTAGCAAAAACTGGATAGTACACTCTATCGCTTATTTCTGAACATAAAATAATTTCACTGAATGCAAATGTTATTAAGTTAGAATGATTGCGGTGCGCTGTACATTTCAATTCTATTCTCAAAGCTGTGCATACAAATGTTGCATTTAGACATTATGCGATATGGAAACTGGTGCCAGTCAAAACAAACCGATTCCAAATTTTTCTCTAGCGTGCTCGCAGTCGACAAATCAACGTTGCCAGAATCCGATCGGACTGCAAAGCAAATCCCGTAATCAAAATAAAATAATCTTCCAATTTATCAAACTCCATTTACTGTTTATTCTATTGATTAAATGATTGAAAATGGAAAGCTAATGGATTTGCTCAGCTTCCACCATCTATCGAAACAACAACCGTTTTATTTATGAATGGAAAGAGGACCCTCGCTTTGCTCTAGTAAAACCCGCAGTTGTTTTTAAACAAGCGATCGCGCTTTAGTTTTTTTTGTTTCTGATGGGCTAAAAGGTAAACAGTTACAAACAGAGCTCTTTCTGATATTTATTTGTTTCCAGCTACTAGTCGTCAAGCCAAAATAGGTATCCATCTTGAGTACATTCGAAAATTGTAAATACAAGTTTAAGTCCTCAAATGTTTGTTGAATTTGGAGCACTTACTATAATTAGTGTGGGATGATATGATAATAAACAGATGAATTTTCAAAGGTGGCATAAAATATTTATTGCAACGTACAGCTTAGTGTTGGAGATGTCTCTGAATTTATTACTGCTTAAAAATATATGCAGCACCGTTTGTTGCCCAGCACCTCATAAATGATAACCGGGAGAGCTTCTAAGCGAAATCGTCGCAGTTTTATAGCAACTAAACTCGCTTAGGGCAAATTTAAAGATCTTGCCGTTCACACTCTTGAAATTAAATTTCATATTGTTGAATATTTTATTTCAAGTATATAATCGTTTCGTGTTTAGATTTCTTGACGAAAAAAGTCACGTCTTATTGAAGGTCATCTTTTGAAAACAATGAACTTCCAGAAGTTTATTACTCCATCTAGAAACGGTGAATCACTAATTACAACGGCTAAATAGCTCTGCTTTGTCGAACACTGAAACGGTGAAGTTCTTTGGTCAGTGTTTATCACAAGGCTTTAGATAGGAATATTCAAAAAACATGTTCTCGAATCGGTAGCGGAAATTCGCTTTTCTGAGCTCCAAATAACTCGCCAGACAAGATCAGAGTGATAAAGTATCTGCTTCCAAATCAATTCTATCTCAAACTTCGCCGCAGGCAATGGTGCTTCTAATGTTCGATTTCTTTAGATTAATCTAAATTTTCCAGCTTTCCACTTTTCGTTTTCATTTTACTGAAAGCTCTAAAGGGCTTTGATTAAATTACATGATAGTCTTTCATACCGGATGCATAAAAATATAATTTATACAGTATTTCGTAAAAAAAATACTTTTTTAAATTCAGGTACGGTATACTAGCCTTCACATACTGAAAACTGATTTATTCTATCGCAAATAATATTAAGAGTTCAGTGACTCAAATTAAACCGAAACGTTTTCCGAAAATATAATTCTTGTCTACAGATTAAAATATTCAAATTTATAACGATAAATAGGTCGTTTTCCACGAAAGGCAACCATAAGAAAAATCAAAGCAAACCCGAATTATATTGAAACCATTAAATTATAATTGTCCACTTAAAATTGCCGTTTCTGGGCAGTAAAACCTTTAGAAAATAGGAACATTTATTGTTACCTTCTTACATTTATAGCCATTTAATAGTCTATTTGGAGCAGACAGAGTCGTAAACCCATTTAAAAATTCCAAACTCCCTCCAGATTTATTTACAATGAATTAAATCAAATGAGTGACGTGATGCGTTTTGAACTGCGAATATATTTACGAACAGTTAGGTAATTCGGTTATCATCAAAAAACTGGAAAAAATGTATAAGTAATTATTTGCTTACATTACGGTTTCAGGTGAAAATTAAATCTGGTGAAACGTGGAACTGATGAAAAGTTCTTTATTTTCGCTCAAGTTAATTAAGTAAAAATTTTTCCGGGAAAAGTTCCTCAGATCTTTTTTCCATGCGCATATTGGTGCAAATGTTTAGTTAACAAAAAGAGTTAATGGCATAAACCTGTCTGTGTTTATCTGTTCTAAAGTTTCAGAGTGGGTTTCTTTCAACCTCTATCTATAGTGCGCTGTATGATAATGCTCGCGACACTTACTTGCAGATGGAAGTTGTGCAGCTTTTTGTATAAGAAATTCAGGTATAGAAAACTAGCGATTTAACTTTAACACTGGTTTAGTTAAGTACAAAACTACGAACTGAAAGCAAGAATATAAACATTTGAAAACTATTTACCTGTATTTTATGTGAGGGTATTCATTATGAGAATAAAAAGTCGCCACAAACAATATAGGCGCAACTGAATAATATTGAAGAGGACAATTGGATTACATTACAATTGAACAGACAACAAGAAAGAAATACAACAATAATACAACAAGGATAACAAGCGAATAGGGACCACATTAACAGAAACAAAAAATCAAATAAGCAAAGGACATATCGCTAATAGAAAACTATTCCGAGATAGAGATTCTCGAAGGACAACACGAAACCGTGAAAGTACATTAAAGCAACTAACTTTTCCAATTTGTCTAAATGTCTCGGTCAGCAAAATTACATAAAATAACAATACAAACATCGGGATTTTATTTAAAGCTTATGGAAACAGTCAAATAGAGACAGTCACTCAGCTAGTCACTGCCAAAACTCAATGCTCACGTCAATGTAAAATTTATGATCTCTAGATAATGCAAAGATATTAAAAGCTGAGCTGTAAAAATAGTTTATAACTTCCTTTCCGACAAATAATCCAAACAATGGAAGTAATGATGGAAGTAATAATCCTACCCGATATATATGCTAAACTGAAAGTAGTTTAACCAAATATTGCCTTTTGTAATAAGCATAGTACCTATGGAGGAAGCCTCAATTCCAATAGGTAAATGATAATGACTCGAAATTTATGAAGAATCGAAGGAATACTGATTACTTCGTTTAGTTTCAAGAGTGCATATTTAGTATTCGAATACATATTTTCACCTTAAAACGAAACTGGACAGTGTACATATAATAATTTGAAGTTGGTGTTTTTATCAAAATATTTATAAAATTATTACAATAAATGCAACGAATATATTTTGTTGAAGTAAAAGTAAAGTATAGTTTCCTATCTAGGAGTAGTTGAACTTAATCAAAATATAGTAATCATCATTTTAATGACAAAATCTTCCATCGCGGGTGGGAGAGAGTTGAGTTGATTTGCTATTAACTTCTAACCTGTGTAAAATGGTATTTCAATATTTCAGGCAGTTTGCACCAATATCAATAAATTTTATTTTTCTTCACTGAGTATTTTTCGCTTCCTAGATCGGAATACTCGTAATTTTCCAACTGATTTACAAAATTCAATCAATCAAACAAGTTTGGCTGGATCCTAGATGCTAGATTAAACATCCGATGACTTTTCTAAACACAACTATTACATTTAATTTGAATTGTATTTTTTGCTACCAACTAATGCGTGAAACAACTCGTAGTTGAACCCGTGCTAAATGATATTCCAGGTCGCCAGATCCCAACGTTATTTTTATTTCCAGATGTGTACTATTCGGTGCAACATCCTGAAAGCTCCCAAATTTACAGCCAGGATTTATGGAAACGTGCGGGATCTTTTGGCCGGCCACTATTTCAAAAATATGATCGCATCTGCTTTCTTTTCAAACCGGGTCCTAACTTAATGAACTCTAAGCGAAAAGCTCTGTTTGAACATAAATCTGTTCAAGTAAGTATAATCTTTCTTTGCCTTGCGCGTCCCTTTTCGCTAATTTTGCCTCGAATTAATAACTGAAAAATTTGAGTTCAAAAGTGCAGTGATGGCCAGCTAGAACAGAACGTAAACCAATGCCACATTGACATAAATTATTATTTTTATTGATACGTGGAAAACAGTACATATCAGAATACCTCATCTTTTCATAGACTGTTCAATTTAAATCATCTATATAGTAACTCGGAAATGACGCGAATAAATTTAAAGCATAATAATTAATCCCGACAAACATATCACAGCGCATCAGGTAAAGATGCGGATTTCGGGAAAATTTTTACAACAAAATATGCTTCAGCACTTCGTCTGTATTGCATATCAATATTAATTGAAAATATTTTTATTATTAACAGATGCAGTATAGTAAACTTTAAAATTAAGTATTTTGAAAAAATAAGCTATTTAGGTATCCAGTGTGGGATTTTTGGGATATGTTAAGATAGTGCGTGGACTAAATAGTTTCCATCCTTCCAGTTTTAATGCGAAGCAGAGCTACTTTTACTTATTTCTACTATTTACCTAAGCCCCATACTACAGTGCCCAGTGCCTAAAAATTGATCCTCGACTCATTCTGTGTGTATCTAGGATTAAGGCTTTCTAACTTTGCTACAATAAAGCCATGCTTAAATTTCTAATATTATGTATGTTTTTAAAGCATATATTTAAATTTTCCAGACTCAAATCGTTAAAAACCCGTCTAAATTAGTCAAACAGCAACTATGTAAAAAATAAAGTTACTGCTTGACTGAAATCTAAACTAATTGAAATTTCTTACAAAACTCTACAAACAAACTAAAACGAATATCGTCTAACCGACTTTTAACTTGGTTCATAACAGAAGTTTCCAGCTGGTGGAGAGCTTTAAAAACACAACAATTCTCCTTCGGCGGCTTTCTTTTGCATTAAGAGTACTTACCTTTTTTGGGTTTATCACTAGCTACATCACTAAGCCGATCACTGAGTAAGTCTTGTGTTAAGGTCGTGTCCTGTTCATCGTCGAAATTGTCTTCTGGCGCTCCTATCGACAATTTATGGCACACTTCGAACGCTTGTCCAACAGTCCGGACAACTCGCATCGCTTGACTCTGAAATAAACAGACACCATGATATTTTTACGAAAAATCACACACAATTTTGAAAATTTTAATCCACATATATAATTTAAAAACTTTAATATATACAACTAACTATATTAGATGCATTTATTTTGGAAATAAAGAACTTCGCATTTATTCCACCTTATAATTGGGGAATTAAATTCGCCAAATGGGGCTCAAACTTGAAAGCCGCCTTCTTTTGTTCAGTCATTTGTCAACCGAAATCCTACCTCTAAATCGGAATCCTCAAAACTAGGTGTCCGCTGCACTCCATTAGTCACTACACTTAATCCTAATCCGGCAATACTTTGAATCCCTTTCCCCAACGTAAACGTCTTATCAATGTTCTCGTTAGGCGCAGTTTTTGCCCCGTTCGGCTTGGGATGTTTCAGAATCCGTTCACAAGACTTCAAAGTATTTTGAAAGTTTGTCTGAATTCGCCCCCGTGAATCTTCCTGCTTATTAGCTACGGCTTTGTTCTTTAAGGTTTCCCCAAAGGAGTGATTATTGAATTTCATTTTATTAGTCGAGTGTTCATTATGATGGCCGTTCTTTTGCTTTTCTGTGTGTCTTGAATTTTTTGTATCCACTTCTGGTTCCTTGAAGCTCAGCTTCTTTCTTGGACGCTCTAATGCTAGAGCTTCGGCGTCGCTTCGTCTATCAACACTCGGCCGGTCCACACAAACAGTTGCTGGCCTCAGTCTGCTTATTGGATAAAACACCTCATTTTCATTATCCAACTCGTTGTCAAACGATGAGATCTTTATTTCAGGATAAGATCCCACGGATGTTTGTTTTTGTAATAAACACTTGGTACCTGGTAATAGTAAACATTCCTAATTTTTTTATGTCTGTTTAAACTAATGTGTATTAACTATAAGTTATTTTGCAGTTATTTGTGAAGTGTCTTATTACGAAATGCAAGTTTTCTAATCTTGGCCAGATTAATGGCAATTCCTATATTTTTTGACAGAAAGTTTAAAATATTTTATTGCAAGATAAGTCCCTTAGTAAAACATGTTTTAGTATAACAAGTTTCATTATTTAGTCCTCTGATTAACTCCTATCCAGTTAGTAATTTTCCATTGGCTGTTTTGTAGAAGCACTTAAATCTTAAGAAACGCTAACGAATATTTCAAAAGCTAAAACTTTAACAGTAAATCATTTGAGCTGCCTTTTTTTACGTATTTCTGTATTCATCTCTTCAATAATTTGTATCGTCTATTAAGAAAGTGACAACATGTGGCATAATATTTCTCAAGATTTTAGAGACATTTTGTAAAAATGAACATTCTACATATAAAGTAACAATTAGACAAATATGGAACATAATACTTTTTAATTCAGGTATTTAATATTTTCTGTATCAGATTGAAACTTTTCGCAACACTTCGACTGCCTATCGCTTCATTCAATTATGCAAAATAATTTTCAGAAATAACTGCCAATAGCTTGCCGACAAACAGTTGCCAAATGACTACACAAAGTCTTCAATATTCAGAATTCTAAGTCCATTTTCAGCTAATTCTTACCAGGCTTCTGATACATTTCATCCCTAGTATCTTCGTCTCTATTCTGGGAATGTTTGAAAAAGTAATCCAACGTGCATTGGGTCATGCTCTTCGACAACGGTTTTTCCTGGTTCTCTTCGGCTTTTCTGTGCTTCAAGGCATCACTTAGGTTTAAAAGTTTGTGCTTCGCCCTTGATAATACATCGCTGTGTTTCTTTTTCAGCTCGGGATCTGCTAAATCTAGGCTGGAATGTCTTAACTTGGTCATGTTCAACTCATTTAGTTGCTTTTTGTTACTCATGTTGGTGGGGTAGCTAACATAATGTCTTTACTTTTATATGATTCATATTCTAGAAGGATTGTTTGTTTGATTTTATGAAAAGGTCCGTTTTTTATGCAATGTTTATTTTCGTTATAAAGGAGGTTTTTAAAAGGTTTGCACAAATTTAACCAATATATCTTTCGGCCAAAATAAGGTTTTTAAAATCAAGTCAATCGGTCGTAAACACTCTCAAAAAATGGAATAATGAAAGTACATTTTTGGGTTATTTTGCAAATATCCTTATTGAGTTCCGAGAAAAAAAGCTATTTTCCATTAAAAACGGTTTCGGAAAAAGCGGCGTTACACGACAATTATTTTTTGTCACCAAGAAATTTCTGGTTTGTTATTTTATAAGTAATGTACAGCTTGTCAAGTTGAACACCATTTTGATATAATAAACAAACATAAAACAAGTTCTTCACTCCGGATATGTCACTTTGGAAATTTAAAAAATCCCACTTGATTGATTATTGCACTTTCCCCCAGATTAATTGGTAATATCCGTCAGTAATGAGGTTAACATTATGGTTTGATAACTAGAAAAATAAATGTTATATGTTGTATGATGCCCATTGGGTTTCAATCGAAAAAATATTACAAAAAATATGAAATTTAACACGCTTGCAACGGAATTTTATTCGCTTGAAAATATGGTTTGTCGTTGTGTTTCATCAGTTCTTTATAGTTTTTCATTTATTACGAGGTAATCATAAACATTAAAACGCAATAAAATCTTGTAATTCTATTCATAGGAAAATGGAAATATGAGCAAGTGCATTTATCTGAATTGCTTCAACCAACTCTATGTAGGTTTCAAATGGAAATATATGCAAATAAAATTTCGGTAAAAGATTTATTCAAGAACATTCCGTCAGATTTGCTTAGGCTTGGCTTAAAATGTTGATCCTTGAATTTAAAATTAACATTTGCGCTAATTGTTTTTTGGCACTACTTTAGTCCATGGATGCAAACATTCTAGTAAAATAACGTTAAAGCAAACTTTCGGTTTGATTATTTCAGACAAAATTTCTGTGTAGTAAGTAAGTAACTTTTTACTTTGTTTTGGGTGAAAAGTCTTATCGACCGAGATCCTATAATGTAAGATTGTGACAGATAAAATCAACCAAAAAATTAATGCAGAACAAGTTTTCGTATAGAATTTATTCAGCGGTGAATGATGGTATACCTACTTCAGTCCATGGATGTATGTTTAAAGAACACGTGAATAAATTGATGACGTTTGAAACGTATGTACTGGCATTCGCCATATGGTCGATATTTACATTATTCGAAGTCCTCGGACTTAATTTTGCAAAGGTCACTTTGCCGTTGATTTTCCGGAATTAAGTGAATTTGAAACAATTGTACTTAAATATTCTTAACCGATCTTTCAGTTGCTTCGAGCGTAAATCAAGGCACATAAATTAATGATTGCTGTTATCATGATTAAAAATTTTAAAAATATTTTGAATTAAACGTTATTAGTGTCTAATTTAAAAGAGCTATTAGCTCACTATCAAAGCAATACCATTGGAAAATTATATGTTTTGCAACTTGGGTATTTGCACTGGTGATTTTAACGGATATACTAAAATAACTTCAAAGACTGCGATACAATCGAATGCAACTAATAGCAATTTATGTTTATGAGTTATCATTACCCAGCTTTACGACTACATAATAGAGTAATAATCGAAATGAACATGTTTATATAAGATAATTAATATTTTTCTTCAAACAAATCAAACAAACAAAAAATCGCCAATAAAACCTCAATTTGAAATTTACAATTTTTACTTAAAGTAGGTACGTTTGCAGTCTGTTTTCTTGCTTAATAGCTACTTTTTATTCTGTAGTAGTTCCCATATGTTTAATCGCATTTGAACCCACTCAAAGATATAAATATAGGATATAATTCTCCAAAAGTGCACACATAAATAACTATCGTACAAGTTCTGGAATTCCAAGTCTGGAATAAATCATTGTTTTGCCTCCGTTATATTGGCGCCAAAACTTTAATTACAGGTCAAATTCCTTGGCTATGAATAAAATAAAGGTAGCAAGCTTAAGTCGAGCCCAAAATAAACTTTTGTGCATGTTCTTTATCATTAAACTTAAATTTTTATTTGGGAATGAAGTTTTGAAGAGTTTGATGGTAATCTGGAATTTATACATGAGCAAAATGCAGTGCATGCATTATATATGAGTTCTGAGCTCGTTGCATACAAATATTTCCATGGCATAATGATTAATCAGCTAAAAAAATTAAAAATCTGCAGCTTAGTGAATCCGATTTCGCCCTAATTCCTGAGTATCAAAAAAACCTTTAAAAACTTCCTCTAACTGTGTTTTGCAAAATAACCAGCATAATAAACGGTTTCAGCTTCGAGCACTATTTAAATATTCGGACACATAAAAGCACACTAAGTTTCATCACACTTTTGAGAGAAACGGTTTGCCATTTATCAGTTTTGTCCACATTTTCAACTAAGTCACAAAACAACACAAATCGGTTTTACATGAAACGAGGAATTGGATTCAACGACTATAACGAGCACACTGATTAAGCCATCGAATCGTGAAACTGTTTGGAAACAAAAGTTGAAGCGGTCACTCGCGAAAATCGCACCTCCAGCACTGAATTTTCGAATTATTTATAGTATTTGACGTGTTTATGGCATTATTCCGAATGTTTCGTGGATTTTCGGGGGAACATTTTATGTCAAGATTCAACTTGCGTTGTTGGATTTATTGCTCGTCGTTAATCTTGCGTGGACCTGTGCAGGTTAATACCCTATTCATCTAGGGGTTTAGAGGTTTTCGTAAATTTATTTCCATTTTTAGTTTGACCAGCTTAAAGAAGTAGCATTAAAAAACCTACATCATAATTTTTTTTAAACAAATTGGGCAAGATGCCAAAATTTGTGGCACTTTCGCCATATCCTTTTGTTTTCATAATTTGTTCAGCAAAATGTAACCTTGCAGCTCGATTTCAATTGGCAACCTAAGCTAATAAACAAAAATATAGAACATATAAGCAGCACAATAAAAGAAAAAAAATTCAAATCTATAATCAAAATTAGTGCTTTGGGTTCTAATAAAAAAACAGTTGTTCCCACAAATATTTTTTCAAAAAACAAACAGTTTTTTAACCG